AGTACAGCTCGGTAACTGGGTTCAAATCACTGGCTGCTGCTATTTAAGAATCAAGGGTAAAAGGTGTAGTGGCCCCTTTGGGGTTCAAAATGCTTTGAATGTATATTTTCTCATAATATCCTTGTCAAGTGGAAAATTTATTACTTCCAGCCTTAGATGGGAAACTGAGACATAGAAATGCTAAGTGATTTGCCCCAAGCTCTCAAAAGAACGGCAAAACAAGGATTAAACCACAGCCTTTCAGGACCAAGACTGTTGCTTGAACTGTGACAGCAATCTTCATCTCCCATAAACTGTATTACATTTATTTGACATGACCCTTAAAAATATCTATGAGCTTTCTGACCAAACATAAAACTGAATTGAATTATTTTCTATCTTAATGGCAATGGTTAATATTGTTATTGGGCAGCACGGTTTGAAAGGCAAGTATTTTGATTCCCAGGACAAGTATGATACATACTTGCTTACTCCTACAGTTCTATCTATGAGATAAAGTATTCACAGGAAAAGTAGATCCTCTGTCAGAAAACAAGTGATTTTTGTGATAAAATAGGAGGTTTAAAACAAACAAAAAATAATATTTATCAGAAAAGAAACAAGATTTGGGTTTTTTTACTAAGAAATATTATCCAAAATCTGAACATAGATTTTGATGTTGGACCCAAGCCTGATCCTACTCTGAACAAAAAACACAGGAAAATGCTTATTGCTTCACATAGTAACAGGATCCAGCTAAATACCAGACAGCACAGCATTGTGCTGTCAGGAAAGCCAAGATTTCATTTTCATGTAGGACAGATCAGAATACTTTCAAGTGTATTAAAGCCCCTCTTTAAACATTTCATGTAAAGAATATACAATAAAAATAATAAGGCTAGGTAAATAAGTAACATTCTGCTTCAGTTTCCTGGGATACACTCATTCCCTTTATAACCATTTGAGGCCATACCACATTTGTTTGCTTTTTGATTTCTGCCACTTGCTTGCGCTTAGAGGATTTTCTAAGATTGCAAAGGGGGACCTGGTTATTTCTTATATCTATCCTCCATTAACAGCTTAAAATAAATTCTAACATAACCAGAGATGAAGTCTTCATCGTGACTCTTTATCACCTCACTTATTGGCTCCATAGTCATCCAGACTAATGGTATTTGGTTATTTCCCAGCTTAAAGGTACATTAAAGCTGTGTCTGCAATAATACTGTTTACAAGAGTAAATTCATTCCTTCTCATTCTATTCACTAGTATTTTCTATTAAATTAATGCTATGGGAGGAAGGATTTAGAACACTTCACATCCTGCAGAAGTAATCAGAAAACATTTATGAACATTTGCAGTTGTGATGGGAGGAATAGAACAGAAGGCATTTTATTATGCTGATTTTATCCTATTTCTTTTGATTGGTGTTAACTAGTGTACAAAGATCCAAGGCTCATTGGAGAAAAGGGATCTGTGCATTTTCCAAATTTCCTGTCACTAAAATAAATTTGAAGGGGGAAAATGTAATTTATACCTTACTGTGTAAGTTCAACTCCACTAGCTGCCAACACCACAAAGCACTGAGGCATACTGTTAAGATGACGAATGAAAACTACTCTAAAAGACAATATCAATCTAGAAATTCAGTCATTGAAAGCCTGCTTCATGAACTGAAGCTAATTAATGCTCTCATGTAGGGTTGAACCCAAACCATCAGAATTACAGCAGCTCCACAGCTGAATTACTTTTTTAGTATGCTGCCACTTAAAATTCCACCCAGTCACTTTAAAAGGATGGAGCACATGATTAAATTGTGCTACGGGAAGGGAAAAGATGGACAATTAAAGTGAAAATCTCCTAAACCCCAAAGATTATCTAAGACATTTAAATACAGAATGACTTTGTATTGCAAAAAAGCTTTCTGAAAAAAACATCTTTTCATTATCTGCACAGACTTACTCCTTGTACAGCTCTGTTTAGAAGCTCTAGAAAAGGTACTTTTGACAGTTCAGTCTTACATAGGTGCTTCAGTAAAGGACTTGGATATCCTAGTATCAAAGCATAATGATGATGCTGACAGTATGAACTATGCAATTTTTTTAAATAGAATAATATTCGTGTGCAGATGTCCGGAAGAATATAAATACGAAAATATGAAAATAAAAACCAAGGGTAGACTGAGTAGGTCCCTTTACCTTAGGAGTAGAAAAAAACACAGATCATTCTTGATGCCTTAGGATTTTTAGGATTTTTAGTTTTTTGTAGATTTTTAATATAGCTGTGTAGTTTCCTACACTTTAGAAAAGCAGTTGACATTTATCAAACATATTCTCACACTTCATATTGAATTGTCTAAATTCTCTAAGCTTGTTTAGATTCTTTTTCAAGGAAGGTCTCTTGCAAACACATCCTGTTTAAGAACATATGCACCCTAGGCTGGAACAACAAGATATCACCGACAAGATTGTAGCCAAAATAGCCTTGGAGGCCCAGAAACTTAGAGAAGCTCCAGAGATAACACGTGCCAGAAGGAGGAGGAGGAAGATGAGGAAGAAAGGGGTCTTGAGACCTCTAACTCAATTCCAAGGAGGGGTGCCAGGGGGGAAATTCCAGGGCAGATCTGGGGGCGGATATTTCTCATATTGGATGGATAGTACTATAAAATTGTAGAACCCTTGGACACAGGCACACGCCTTTGTATTCCTTGTGCCAGAAGGCCTTCATTAAAGACCTGCTCTCTACCTTATCTATACTAATACTGCCTGGTGCGTCTTCTTCTCCCAATTTTCAGGCATCATTCTTAGGAAGGGTATGAATCTATAATATTTGCAAGTTATTGTCACATTTTGCAAAATGACTTTAACAGAGACACTGTCCATGACAATGCTTTCAAGCCCTTCTCATTCATTTGCATTCCTCGATGCTCTTGTTTGGATAGTTCGCTTGCTGAAATAGACATCATTTCCATGTGTGTTTAGGCTGGGAGAAGATGGTCAGATGAATATGACTATAAAACCACATCTGCTAATGTCTTTAAATGATGATACAGCTGCTGAAAATCATAACATTTAGTTGTCTAGGTTATCAACTACATCGAAATTATATTTACAACTGGATTTTTCATCAAATACATGGGATTATCAAAGGTAACATTTCAAAAGGAATTGAATTACGAGACTAAATCACATTGACTTTCAATGCAATGCAGGCATCTATGTGACATAAATATGTGACATATATAGATTAGTATTTTCAATACTAAGCTGTGTCAAAGGCATGAGGCCTTTCACTGTGTTGGGAACCAGCACATTGTAATTGGGAAGAAGCCAAGGGAAAGGAAGGGGAAGAGAAAGAGAAACAGGGGGCACAGCATTTGTAGAGACTACTGTTTATGGAAGTATGGTTCTCCTTTCTGCCAGGAGTAGTTAGGAGGCTTTCTCATGCTGCCTTGAAGGAGAATTATTGTCTTCTTCTGCCTGGTGTTTGCTTTTGTTGTGACATGCACACTGAGCCAGCTTACAAGACTCAAACCAGCATCGTTTTGTCAATCCTCTGTCGTAGTCCGAAGATATGAAAATCTTCCCAAAGTGGAGCAAACATGGGCAACAAGGTCTTGGTCAGTGGCAGAATGGGTGATAGGGCAACAATAACTGAAGAAGGCTGTTCTATTGAAGGTGCAGGCCTAGCAATAAGTCTTTTTCAGATGTGTCACATAAGGAGAGGGAATACTAGCATGGCGGCAGCTCCTTCACAGATGTTTCATAATGATCTCTGAGGCCCATAAATGTCCTGGGTGTGAATAGGTTGTCTTTATGTGACTGGCACGGTGTGTGCCACCGGGCATAGACCTTCCATCCCTGACTATAGCAACGTGACTGAAGATGCCTACTGATGATGATTTAGGCAGGGAATGTTCTTTTCAGACTCATATCCAGGACAAAATCCCTGCAGCTCAGGAGTTCTTCTCACTCAGAAGCATATTAATCTGATGAATCATTGATTTTGAAATAGCCAGACAAAGAAAAGTTTCACTTCCAGCAATGTCTCTAGTTCTGAAAAAATTATATAACATGTAGAAAACTGATAGGAATTTTGACTTGCATTTTAAGACAACCAAAGGAATCAAAAGCCTAAGACCTTGAGCTGCTAAGTTTGTCAGCTACTCTTGAACTTCTAGGCTGTCCCTCCTTCTGAGCATGGTCTAGTTTTCTCTGTCCACACACAATCACGGTATCATGGTACCAGGGAATCATGGTAGATAAGTGATTTAAGACAGGTGAATACCTCAGAAGAAATGAGAGGTCCTTAACTGATTTCACTGTGAGCAGTCAAAAACCCAATCTATTGTTCTCTCATGTTGAATACCCATAAGTATATCTCAAAGGTTGCTGGAGAGCTTATAGAACTACAGTGGAAGCAGACAGGTAGCAGATAACTCAAAGCTCCCAAAGCTGAGTAATAGACCCAATGTTTATGGGATGCAGCAGTAGACCCCACCATGTGGGTAGTGGGACCTGCATGAGACACTGATACTGAAGAGACACCTCAGGACTTCCAAATATCAAATCTTGATTCCCTTTAAGACAAATCATTCAATTGCAATAGGATTTGGGACAGCATTAGGAAGAGCAGGCTGAGGGAGGTGATCCCTTCTACTCAGAGCTGGTAAGACACATGTGGAGTAGTGGGTCCAGTGTTCGGCTACCCAGAATAAGAAAGATATGGACTTACCAGCATGAATCCAGCAAAGAACCACTGAAACAATTATGGGTCCAGAGCATCTTTTATGAGTGAGCAGGCTGAAAGAGCCTGGAAAAGAGAAGGCTCAGAGGGATCTTATCAGTGTGTCTTAAGTACCTGATGAGAGAAAATAAAGAAAAAGAGATCCAGACTCTTCTCAGTGGTTCCTAGTGATAGGACAAGAGGAAATGGGCACAAACTGAAACACGTCTAGATTATCTCAAAAGCTTCCTTCCAATCTAAACAATTCTGTGATACTTTAAAGACATTGCTGTACTTCCTGTTTGCAATTTTACAAGTCTCAGGGCCATCTATGTAATTTTCTGCTTTTTCATAAGGTAGCACCGGGGAATGTTAAACCTGCAGAGAAAAAAATAGGGACCAGAAGTAAAAATGTGATCTGATTTAAACTCAGTTTGAAGAAGTTGTATAGTTGGATCCTTTGCCAGTAACCTACATCCTACACAGTATTCTCAGTAGGGGTATAATTCAGTGTTGAGTGGTATTTGCCAAAAAGATGATCAGGTTTTGCTTTCTGATGAAAACCAACACCCAAGTGTCAGTAACTGTCATGTCTCATTTGAGATACCAAGGTCACTGTAGAAGCTGAAAATGTCATTTGTTTGGTGGGGAAATGGGGCTATGATACTCTACTGCAATTTTGGAAAACAAGGAAGATTTGTTAAATTCAAGGTTGCACTGCTGAAACTAACCTTAGCAATTCAAATATGGGTCTTGGCAGAGGATCTACATGACTCCTCAGAGAAAACCTACCATAGATCTCAAAGAGGAAGCTACATGACTGGTTAAGATGTTGTCAGATGTGTTTATAATCAGGTCAGCTGAGTGCCTTTCTACCAATATGAAATCACTACATAAATGTAAGAGAACACTTTGTGAGGGGGTTATCAAAGACAACCAAGAAATACTTGCAGAATATAGTTCATTTAAGATCTCTGAAAAGTACCAGCTTGTAGTATCTGCATTTTGTATTGATTACTAGAAGGGTACTGAAAACCAATTCGACCCACTCTGATGCTTTGAACTGATAAAATGCAAGAGACTTGGAGAATAGCCATTGAAAAAACAACCTTGAGTTAATGAAGGGATATTGGCAAGCTCTGTTATTCCTGAAAACCAAGAGTTACATTAACTGCCTTTCTAGTTCCTATATCTGCTGTACATGTTCCATGTCCTGCTGCTAGGAGTAGGTGGAACTTGTGGATGAGGTACTTTGATACTATGGATATCCAGACATACATCTTGATATACGATCTTGCAAACTGAGTCTTTGCACAGAAACCTCCTCAAGTCTCTAAGGACTTTTTCTCCAGCAGTGTCACATAATTGACTGCAGGCTTCAGTAATATCTAAAAAGGTATTTAGACCCTGTGCAGCCTAGTTACTGTGGGTTTAATCAAAGGAAGTCTCCATTTCTCTCACATCAAATATAAGCCACTTCTCTTCACCCAAAGTCTCCCAATGTCCTATTTCCAGTCTTATTATGATCTCTTGTGCACTACTGTGACTCTACAAGTCAGTGAGCTACTTACCCAGGTAAAGCCATGCTTGGAATCCTGCTGATTTTAATTCCCGTTTAAGGCCTTTTATTTGACACAGAAACAAAGCTTCCAAGGTACTTAGAGCAATAAACCTTCAGAGTCTTGGCTGGATCTTCTCTAATACTCAGCTATCCTAGATCATAGCCAGATCCGAGCTTTCATATCCTCCTCTTTTACAGTTTCAGTTCTAGCAGACTCCTCCTGTCCTTCAAATATTTTCCTAAATTCTTTCTGCTATCAAGTATATGGAGTCTTTCACAAGTGCTTTCTAATCCCAGTCTCACTTCACTCTTAGCAGAGTGGGGAGCAAGATGTAAAACTTCCTTTGTGTAACTCTGTGCCCAGAATGAAGCCTGGGATGGCATGGTCTGGACAAAAATCTCCTTAAAATGTTCTTCCTGCGCATTCCTAGCGCAGGATTTTTCTGATCACTGCCATTAATATTATCACTGTGCTCACATCTACTCATATAATTAGATTATCATTATCATCTTGGACCTCTAATTGGGCCTCATTCCTGCTACACATTCTCAACATTTGTCTTGTAGATCTTTCTGCACAACATCTGTAAGTTACTTCTTAATGTTGTTTAAAATCTCATCCAATTCTCAACTCTTAATATCTTGGATAATGAAACAACCCTCTCTCCAGCCTTTATAAATGCTTCCTTGTCCCACCTGTCATATCCATCCTTCATCACGTATCTACCTACCTCTTGCTTTGGTCTGATCCCTCCTCTCTTTACATATTCCACTTCTTCACCTTTTATATTGTAACATATGTCACATACTCTCACATTCACTTGCCTCTATACAAAGATTTCTGAGCCTGCTTCCTGGAAACTTATTGTTGAGAGGCCATGGTTCATGAGACCAGCTCGTGTTTCAAAGAAGCACCTTGATGTTTTTTCCCCTCCGCCTTCCCCGTAAACATCTGCAAAGTTCCCCCACTGTACTCTTTAGAGTACTCTTTGTGATTCTGTGGGAAAAATGCTGCCTTGTTGAGACCACAGCTTGTTACGCTGACCACTACTAACTCAGTGCCTCCTTATTCTCTTAATCTGTCAGCATCTGCTTTTACCTATTCTTTTCAACTCATATGGCAAGGTTGAGTTGAGAAACCTGACAGAGGTCATATCTTCTGCTGTGCTAGTACAATTTCTGACATGCTAGAATTCTGCTGGGGGCCTCTGGGTGTAACTACAATTAAAAAAATCCATTATAAGCTTTGAATACAACATCGAATAGTATCTATTTAATACAGAGGGTTAGACAGGCACATTCATTAGCAGTCCAAGCAGAGACATGATTCCGAATTAACTTCAAACGAGAATTTTGCAAGTGAAGAGCCAGAAAGAAATCAGTCTATCCCCCATCCACCTCCATTTTCAGATCACAGTATGACAGAATGTATCTGGAAGTGAGCAGGTCACTGTTGCATTTTCTAAGATGTTAGAATATGTTGGTTTAAAATCAAATCAAACTAAAAAGACATAAAAGAATTAAGAAGCATTCCCACCTTTTAGAAATCAGCACAGTCAGCACAACTTTAACAGAACTGCAGCATTTTATGCCAGGTAAAGCCTCAGAACAATATATTTAGAAAAACTCACACTGTTGATTAGGGGAGCTATCTCTTAGTGATGATTTTTGATTTCTCTTTAACACTTCTCTTAGTCTGGACAGAGAAATTATTCCAGTTAGCTTTACTCTCCCATACTCAATACTACAGCAGTGGTGGTTGTTTGTCCCCTTAGAAATGCACAGTCAGAATGCTGTGGCAGTTACGGTACCCTAATGATAGAAATATGTCATGGTTCAAACAGAAAATACAAATTCTGATATTACCTTCTTGGGAGCTCCCAAAAAGCAGAGCAACCATGATTATCAACCTACCCTTTCATGTGGTATATTCAGCAAACCTGAATCTCCAGGTTTTACTGTTTGGATTTTGTTTGCTGAAGCTTCCTTTCTTGTTTACTTCAAGAATCTAGCATTAACCTTCTGCTTTTTATTTCTGCTAGGCGGACTATATGGCATTCATATTCTGGCAGCCTGATTCGACATAAGGACATCCAGTGGAGTCAGTAAACTTTTTGGTCCTTGCTAAAGATATGGCAGTTCACTTGTCGTGGAACAAGAGTGGCACCCAGTGGCCAGAAAGCTTGGTTCAAAATTCATGTCCTGAAGTTTCTGCTTTCTGCATTTTATAAATCCCTTTTTTAGAAGACAGAAATCCTTTCATGCTCAAGCTCCCAGACCCCATTCCCACCTCTGGACTTGAAAGACAGAAACTAGAGAGCTGAAGCTAAAAGGTTTCCTCTCTGTACTCTTTTTGAGTGTCACGTTTTCTGAGAGCATAAAGAATCCACCACAGGCATTAGGCATTTATAAAGGGTATTGCTTATTTCTGAGGTATCAGATAGCAACGGACAAACATGGAAGAAGAGGAGTTCAAGGACCTTATCTAACTCTAACACATTGTCCAGTAGACCTGATGAGGTAAACAGATATTTTTAAACTGCCCTGCCATAAAATGTGGCAGCAGGAAAGGAAAACCCAGGGACAGAGCCTGCTTTGTGATCTCCCCTCATGGAGAGGGCTCTGTAACGCTCCCAGCCCACGGGTGTGTTTTACCAGTTCAAATTATTGGAATGGAGGCAGAGATGGTGACGTGGTGTGGCAATGAACACCGTTACCTGTGTGACAGAACACATCTCATGTGCTTCTCAGAGGTTTAAGTAATTCTGTATTCATTTTTCATGATAACACAATCAGAGTACAAAAGTCTGCATTTCAGTTATGCAATTTGTTGTACTTTTAATGAATTTCTTTGTGGGTGCTGTTGCAAGTGAGAAAGCTTTTACTCTCCGTTTCTTTCTTTAACTTGGGAATACTTAATGCTTAAAACTGGAACATCAGTTCTGAAAACCCTCCATCAGAAAGCCGAAGACACAAACTCTCAAGGGAACATTCTCCAACATGGAGACTTGGGTGTTGTTGGGTGAGCAAGACCAAGCTCACTATAAAACCAATGTTTCAAAATGGTCTAAAATTCCCAATGATAAATGGGTGATAATAGTAAAGCTGCTTGCAGAGCTATGTCTGGATTTTCGTTTTTAGACCCTATTCGCAGTGTGAAATCCCCATTTCTACAGAGGCCAGCAGACAGTGTGAGAGTAGTCTTGATTCTCCTCATTCCTGGCATTCCTCAAATTTTAACCCAAAATTTGCATTAACTGGTATTTCTTCTAAATGGTCTAGCACCTAAAATGGTATGATCAAGTGAAAGTCAAAACTATTAACTAAAAATAAACTAACTAGTGTGGATGGCTACAGCTAGAGCTTTACAATGTGACTTGAGTTGATTAAGGGGCTCGCAAATAAAAAGGCACATCAGAAGATTTGAGCATTAAAAGAAATTCTAATGTTTTAAAACAAATATAATGATTTTTAGACATCTGCTATGGCAATACTGAAAGCCATGGATCTTTGTACTTCCTGAGATATGTTAGTAAAGACCTCAGCAGTCTAGTCAGAAATTTCTGCCAGATTTTTTGATAATGCAAAGTCTTTGTTCTTTGAATGTTTAGTTTTTGCTACATGACATTATTGAAATGGTAACAAGAAAAATACTGCTCTTGATCCAAATGTAGCCTGATGGATCCCTAGTGGCAGACTGACAAAAGTAGGAAGATTTCCCCCATAACTAGATTGTTTGGCTCTATGGGAAGAAATGGCTGTAGTAATATTCAGGTTTATTTCACATTCAGTGTAAACATTGCAGTGAGCAGAACATTTATTTCAAAACAGGGACTCTAAAATGCATTGTCTACACCATCAAAAAGAAAGAAACCATCTTACAGATCCTTTACAGAGTTAATACTGAAGAGGTTTCATAACAGTTTTGCACTTTTTTGCAGTGCTTTCTAAAATTACTGTGACTATGCAAATGTACATCTCTCTGCTGTTATATTACCTAAACTTCTTCCCATTTGCTAATTTATTTTCTTCAGCATTTTATTTGGTCACAGAAGTTTTCCTGAGGGAGGGCAGTCACTGTGTTGTTTGTACAGTGCCTGGTGCAATGGGATCCTAACATCTATTTAGGATCCTTATGAGGTAGTGTTATAGAAATAATAAACATCTTATTTTAACAAACAATAGAAAACAGTGTCTTTGAGAGCAAGCTGAAGAATAGAGGCCTTGTGGTACTAGATGTTGTTTTCCAGCATGTGGAAAATACAAGATTTTCTGCATCTAACCTCTTTTAGGTGTTACATTTCCTTATCATTTTACAATGCAATCTGGACATTTACAACTTGCCATCTTATTTACCTTAATTTGATGAAAATAATTGTCAAATAGATTTTTCTGTGTCAGAATTGAGTAGAGTATGGCATTTCAAAAGCATGGTGTGAATCCTTGTTTTCCACAACATGACGCCGTAGCATAAAACTAGTTATAATACTCCCAAGCAACAAAAATCATTTTAGATCAGTAATACTGTACTTGCTCTTAGAGGGAGCTACTTTTAAGTTGTAAAAACCTGAACATAGAACCAGAAAAGAATTAGTATCCATTAATGAGCTCAGCAAGTCTATAATTTCCCACTGGTGAACATGCTTTGTCATCGTTAAGGACATAACTTTGGTTTCAACCCTTGCAAAGCTGGCAGGTGAACCTGAACCAAAGCTGTAGTCAAGAAAAGAACAGTAAGAAATCCCATAATGGTGTCTCTGCACAATGATCTCAGAACCCGACCCTGGGCTTCTTCAGATGCCCAGTTTATCTTTCCCTGGCATTTACCTGATATGTGGAATATATGCTGAACGTTTCATTGTCTTCAAAATTAGCAGGCTCTGTCTGTAAGGTCAAGACATAATTGAATAATGAAATAAGTCAGATGGTGGATCGCTGCTATTCTCAAAACAAAGTATTTCTCCAGGATTCCAAATTCTGTATTATTTTGTTTATGATTTTGTCACTCCTCTCACCTCAGAGGAATGAAAGAAAATAGATTAAGAATGTGTTTAATAGATTCTTGGGCTGAGCTTCAGTATGAAAATGCAATTGCCCAAAGTCTAACTTGAGAGGTCATGGAAGTTTTACTATTGCTATTTATGGTAGTGCTTTTCATATTGCAGCCTCTTTCTACACATTTAAGGACTCTCCTGACTGTGGTGCTCATAACCCTTTGTTGTTGTTACACTAACACATCAAGAGAGAAAGAGACTGAAAGAGTCACAGGGTGGGTGTCAGGCATTCACAGGAATGGAAAAATTCCTTCCAGCTTCTTTCTCTCACATCTTTTCTGTGAACTTTGTTAGGATCATAAGAAGGAAGTGCTCTTTCTGCAGACACTACCTAACTTGCAAAGGCATGAAAGGGCTGGAATAAGTAGAACAAACAGAAGAAAGCGAGGAAGGCTCACTTTTCCTCTTGCATAATATGCAAGACTTAGTTGGAGACATCTTCTAGAAATGACCAGTTAATCCAATGAGTTAAGGCTTTACTCATACACTTTTTCTTTGTGAGTTTTGGGGGGCCATCTTCACTCTCAAACCCATACACTGCTACCCTCAAAGCAACTTTAGGAGTCTGAAAACATTTTAGCAATAAAGTGGAAGCAATTTTAGCAAGCGATTTTTCTATCAAATATTTTCTATGAGTAGACCTATTACCACAGATTACTGTATTACATTCAAGTATTTCACTATAAATCTATTATAGCTTGTTATTATTACAGTAAGAGTCACGGCCACCTGAAATACCTGCAAACTTAGGCATGTGCATCTAATCAAGAAAAAGTGTGTACTTTAACCATGACAGAACAATATTTGTATAGAAAGTATACTCTATACTGAGTAGATTTGAGGTTGTGAGATTAAAAAGCTCAGCTTTGGTGATAATCAAGTATGAAATGCATTATTAAAACAATGCTCTGACATGACATTTTTTAAGTAGGGAAAAACTTTTAAATTGGTATCTTTTTTTGCTTGAGAGTTAAAATAGCCTGAATGTCTCAGCTGGTCATAAAGCTGATTGATCCCATGTCATTTTCCTACTTGTTCCTCCTGAGACACAGCCCATATTCCTTCAAATGTCTTCAGATTTTAAGTAGAAAAAAAATCATCATTTTATTAATTTCTTGCAAAACCCTTTTGGAATTGAGCTACTATTTTTGGGCTAGTAAAAAATATCACTTGAAATCCCACATTTTCACCGACAGGTGGAGCTTACATTTTATATTTAATTTATAATGACTTTAAACTCAAAAAATATATATTAAACCCAACACTTTATATCTCACAAATTCAAAACTCCAGTGTTTCAGATAAGACTAGGACCATGAGATTTTGTTCCAATAGTCCACTGTATGCAAACAATAAACCCTAGGCCAAATCCTTTTCTCGCTGATATCAATTGCAAAGTTCTCTGTATTTTTAATGACTGTGTAATTAGGTCCATGTTCATTTTTTTGTAAATGTGGCCCCTTCTCACTATATTTCTATTGACTCCGCCTGCTCCCTGGTGTTCACACACATAATATTTATCTTCCATGCATAGGTTTCAACTGCAAGAAACTTGATTGATCTCAGAACACGACTGAACCCGCATCTATAAAGAAATATTGATGTGGATATTGTGTATCAGCCCCCTTACACTTACTTCTTCCAGGGACAACACTAACATACATTGCAGCATCTGCTGTTATTATTTAACTAAAACAGTCTATTGATGGCAGAAGCTTTGTCTAATGCAGAAAGCTCTTTAGAATTACATCCATTATTTCTCCTGATTGAGAAATTACGTTTTGCAAATCCTTTAATGCGTTTACTTCTTTATATCTACATAACAATATCCTTTTTTATTTCTGTCTCTTTAGTAGCATTCTAGCTTTCTGGAAATATCTTCTTAGCATTCAGTTGCATTGTCATAATACCATGGAATGATACAGGCAAAATGAAAAAGAACTTCAAAATCCAATACTTGTTTAAAAGTGCTGTTCAGAAGGGAACTTCCTTAATCCACTGTGACAAAAGATTTTGCAGAAATACTCTGCCAAAACGGCTTTTGCTGCTACCAGTGTATTTCAGGATGAGCAAAACTGGACAATGTCTTAAGAATATATCTACAGATACAGATATACATGCACATACATATAAGCACATGCACCTCTGTGCTGGCACAGTATATTGTATCTAAAATTGTGCTGCAACATGCAATTGCTCAATTATATAATTTATTACTCTTAAGAACACTAAATTACTAAACCTGTTTCTTCACTACTAATTTTCTACTCTGATTAAGATGTGTATTGTATGACTCCAATTGTAAACTTCAGATATACAAAAACATAGAAGAAAATGAACTACAGGTTCTGATCACACTCCAGAATTAATCTCGATGCACAGAAATGAGCAGACAGTCGTGCAGTATTCAGACTAGCTGAAAAATAGCCTAAATATTGGTTCACTCAGATTAAAAAACCAAACTAAAACAAAATAAAGCTCCATTGTAAATACAGAAGACCAATTAAATTACAGACCAATCTGTAAATCTGTGAACCTGAATTTCCATTCGACTTCCATGGTTTTTGGAAAGCATCCTTTCCATACCCTTATGCCTGCTCCTGGAGCCTGCAGGTGAAAGGTTACCTGTACACAAGAGCGTCAGACAAACCTCTCTGCCACAGAAATGGATAAACTACATTCTAATGCACAGTGATGAGAGAAAACAGTATTTGGTTTTTTATTGTCTAGAATCACCTTTGTTGTGGTATCACACTGGCACACACGGAGACAGTGCTATTCGGTGTCTATCCCTGCCAGCAGGGCCTAAGGTTTCAATGGGGCCTTCCATCAGCTTTAAGTCATAGTCTTAAGCTGTGCCAGGGGAGGTTCAAGTCAGACATTAGGAATGATTCCTTCACAGAAAGAGTGATTACACACTGAAATGAACTGCCCAGGGAGGTGATGGAGTCACTGCCCCTGGAGTGTTTTAAGGAAAGACGGATTTTCTGGTTGACAAGGTGCTTCCGTCATAAGGTTGGACTCGATGATCTCAGAGGTCTTTTCCAACCCAACTGATTCTGTGATTCCCTCCGAGGCATCCTCCCTGAAAGGGAAAGCTTTCTGAAAGGTTTTTACCGTGGGCCCAGCAGGGCCCAGGCTGGAACAGGCGCCCTCTTATTACTGGGAGCCGCAAACAAGTTCCCGCCTGCCTCGGCCCGGCCCGAGCACCGCCCCCGCCACAGCTACGGCGCCCACCGCGCATGAGCACGCCCGCCGCAGGAGACGCGCGCGCGGCCCCGCCTCCGCCGCGCCGAGACCCGTCACGCGCCGGGACAGCCGCGTGCGCAGCGCAGAAGTCCTTCCTCTTCCGGGTCGGCGCCCGCCGTGTACCGTAAGGAGCCGCGGCGTTTCTGGGGCGCTACTCGAAGTGTCCCTTTCCGCCAGAGCCGGGGACGGGCTGGGGGGAGAGAGAAAGCGCGTGCGGGCGCAAGGCGCTCCCGGCCCGCGTTCCGCCCCGATCCTGCGTTGGGCCTTCCCCAGCAACGCCGGCGGCTTATGCGCATGCGCAGCTGGGCGGTGCCGCCGCCGGGAGCACGCGCAGTGGGGTCGGGGTTCGCGCGGGCGGGGGCGGATCCTGTTAGACCCCGGTTGAGGGACCCGCCGGTTGAGTGTACCCTGTGTGTGTGTGACACCGGGAACTCGGTATCCGTAATGAGTCCTTTCTCAAGTAATGAGAGGTTGACATGGAGCAGTTGTGAGGGGGCTTTGTTTTACCTGCTGCTTTGGCAAAGCTGCAAAACGGGTCTTGCCCAAATCCCACGGATTCATGCCGAGCATAAGCACTGGATCCAGTAGTCAAAACACTAATGTTTGGAATTTAGCTCTCCTATCATGATTTGTAAATCATGTGTTGGTTTGTAAAGTAGCGTCTTTAGTATTAATCAGAATTTACTGCATATAATAGAATCATTTTTGCAATGTCTCTATAGGAGAAAGAAACCAGAGTTTTGGCTTATGGCTGCCCCGGGAAGGGTGGCAGCTTTCCGTCTGCCTCCCCTGCCAACTATTGGAGAGATTATTAAACTCTATCGCCTTAAAGCACAGAGACAACTTTCCCAGAACTTTCTACTGGATTTGCGATTGACAGGTTAAATACTTTTTTCTAATATTTTTAGCTAATGACACATGTCCCAGTTTTCTTCAGAATCCATAGTAAGGCTAAGGAGATATTTGCATAATAACGTCTGCCAGACTAATGACTGCTCAATGGGAAGCCTTTAAAGACTTTTTTTAAAGTTTAGCTTAGAGAAATTTAGCTGAATTTTACCTTAGACAAATTGTTTTTACTTGTTAATGCCTCAAAAATAGGTTTATTTATAAGTTATAATTTTAAGATGAAACTACATTCCTATATAATATGTGGGTTATTGGCTGAAGTGCAAAAATCCAAGCCTTTTACCATTAGGGTGCTATTATAGTTTATAAATTTAATTTAAAAATTAGTGGTTTTTTCAGATTATTGTGTGTCAGGGAAAGTACTGTAACTCATTGTGCAGCTTAGTTTGCTGTATGCTGTGTTTAGGAAGGTAATTTGTTTCAGTTTATCAGAAGTGTTGTAGCTTTTGAACCAGTTACATTGTTCTGAACAATTCAGTTTTCTCCAGCTTCATGTCAGCAGTGGGGGACAAAGCTGGCACTGTTCAGTCATTGGTGGGTGTCTTTACTGGCCTAGTGGTGGCTGGGTTTTGCAGTAACAAATTCATACAGCTTCATGTAGCTAATGATTTAAATACATTTGAAGATTCAGGCTGATAAAAATTCAGAACATGAAACTCAGTTCCACTTTCTGAAAAACTGAACTCTTACCCCGGAATAAAAATGTCTGCATGCATTTTAGTAAAGCCTTACAAGTAGACAAGTCTTCAGATATTTCTTATTTTTATTGCATACATAATAAATTGTGGAGTGAGAAGCATAATTCCTGTCAGCATCTTCTCTTCCATGCGTACCCAGGATCCCTTTGTTTCATTGCCTATAATTTTAATCTTTGTTTTAGTCCTTAATCTGTCTTCTTTCCTGGCTGTAATACCTTCCAGTGTTGTATCCTTCCACTTATGTATAGGTATTCTTTCCTCACCTTTCAGCTGTCCCACTTTGTATAACTACCAGTTGCATGTGTTCCAACTCTTAATTTAGTCCAGTTCCTCCCTCATAAAATTGTTCTGTACATATTATAATCTTGATAGAGCTTCACTCTATTTTTCTTACTTAAATTTCCTTGAAATAGAGATACCATAAGTAACGTAATTCTATAAGGACGAGGAGTGATACTTTAAGATGTTGAACACAAATGCTTGTTTGCAGCACAATAATACTGCTAGCTTACAGATGAGTAATAGTGTCTTTTTATTTGATTCTATAATGAGCACAGTATATACTAAAGACATTAAACTAAAAATAGTCTTTTTTAAATAGTTCAGTGTATGTTGTAGTATGAAAGAAATCTGAAATTCTGTTCAGCCTAGCGGGCGTGCGATCATTTAACTGCGATGTGTCACTGTTTGTGTCTGTCCTGAGATAAGCACGCCTGTGTTTTAACAATAAACAATTACTTATCTTAGTGAGTTGGATCTTCTGGAAAATAAAGGCTTAGTATGTTCTCTGTGTCTTGCAGACAAGATAGTGAAACAGGCTGGTGAGCTGAAAAATGCCCATGTTTGCGAAGTGGGCCCTGGGCCAGGAGGAATTACCAGATCCATTCTCAGTGCTGATGTTGAACAACTCCTTTTAATTGAAAAAGATGCTCGATTTATTCCAGGATTGCAGGTATTAAAAAGAGAATAATTTTTAAGAATGTTTCTACAGCATTGAATAAGAACATTGTAAGAACACAGAAAGGTTCCAAGTGTCTTGTTGAGATCTCAGCATTAAAAATAGTTTTGGTTCAGTGGCTTAAACCGGAGCTATAATTTGCTTGAATATGAAGATACACGGTATAGCAATTAATTGCTCCTGCTTTCTCATAGCTCTTCAGGACCTGATCCTGCAACTGAATTAATGCCGAGGCCTTAGTTTTTTTTGAGGTTGAGACGTTTTGGGTGCATTTCACCATGCAGGTAAAATTGCAGTCAAAAGGCTGAACTTAATGTCCTTTGGTCTTAATTTTTATTTTAATGCTAATATTGGGAAAGCATATCTTCAGTTAATACATTCCAGATATAAGAATAAAGCAAACATTTATTTTACATTTTCAAGAAAACACTCAAACTTTCTTCCTTTCTTTTAAAATTGGTATTAGTTCACAAGTCATTGTGACATTTTTCAAATTCCATTTACTTGTGTTATTAAGTTTCCATGTTTATGGAAATCGGCTGTATAAATCTAGCAAGAAAAACAGAGTACAAAATATTAAAATTTGACTATTTTCTTATGCCTATACAGTCTCAGGTTAGAGCAGTTCAAAGGGCTTTCCTTATATTGCCCTGTGTCTTCTGCACTAAATCAGCATTTAAATAAGTAGGTGGTTCACTTGAGAACTGCTACCATTTCTTTGTATGGCAAAAACAATGTAAGGTATGAATGAATCCTGGAACCTGAATGTGCATGTAACTAGGTCTTTTTAGGTTAGCCATTGATAACTCACACTATGCCATCTTTACCTTATGAAGTATGAAACCTTCATGTTTTCCCTTGAGTGGGGTCAAATCTGCATTTTTATTCTAGATTTCAAATTCTAGATTTTGAGAACTGGTTTGGGACTGAAGAGGATTTGAAATGAAAAGACTCTTTAGTTAACAGAACTTTTTAAGTAACTAGTTAACAGAACTTTTTAAGAAACTTGGACATTTTTTCTGATCTCCCAAAATGCATCCACTTCAACAGATTTCTCTGAAAAAACTGTACTTTCCAGGGTCTATAATGAGCTTTTGGTATGTAATTATCTTTACTATTCAAATGAAGTAATGTTTGTTGTTATTTTTAATTAGCAATCTCCTCACAGTAGAAATGAATGTCTGAGGTTATTGAACATAGAGACAGTATAACTTGGTAATGGTGAATGTGAATAAACAAGAAATGCATTGCATCCATTTCTGTTAAATTTGGTATTCTTTTTTTCCCTACAAGTAAGAAGATACATAACACTGAGTCTTTCTGTTCTGATAATGTGGATTGTAATACCTATTTTTTTCTGGATTCTCATTACAAACTACCAAAACCAGATGCTCATAAAAGGGTTGAGATTTTAATAAGACAAAATGTCAGAAATTAAAATAACAAATGAGGACTATTACTTAAAAATGTCTCTTTAGATACATTTAAAATCACTGATGCAAAGCATACAGCATTTTTCATTGACTGTTTTCCAAGCCGTGGTCTCTATTGCAAAACTGAAGTTCGGATTCCCTTTACTGCAAAACTGAATTACAGTGAAGAACATATGTGTCCAGAGTTGAAGTTTACACAAGCTGAGAGTCTGCCAGTGTTCTGTCTCCCTCTTAAAGAATCATAGCCGCCCTATGCCACATGCCCTAGTAGTTTTTAGGCTGGAAAGATTTATGAGGAGAGAAAGGGAGCAAGAGAGTGTATCAAATATGAAATGATTGCAGGAACACCATTTCATTTTTTAAACTATACCCCTTGTGTTTCCTTTGTGCCCTTTTGGTTGTGTGTGAAGAATGAGAGGATCTGTATGACGGAACACTCTTGGCTGGTGTCCTTGGTGCACAGCAGCTCCTGGAACTGTGCTAGCTGCACACATTTTCCCTTAAAATGGAAAAAGCTTCAATGGGTTTCCAAGTATTTTGAGTTAGAAATATATGACTATGATTTTCTGTTTACAAATTAAATGCAGTTCTCTTTTATGTCGTGTGGTATTCAGCAACCCCCGAACTCTTTTTGACATGAAAACCATTATTAAAAAATGACACTATTTTCTAACTTTATTTATCTTACATTATCTTTCATCCTGCTGTAGCATTTATAATAGTGTCAAAGAAAGATTTGACAAATAGGAATTTGTATGCCATATAATTGCTAGAGTAATGCTGAAAAATCCATTATGTGGTTTGGAATTGAGGTTAGCTTTGTTTTTCTGTTTGGAAGTAATTGCACTTAAAACATGTAGGAACACTTAGTTTTTAGTTAAGCTTTTATTTTAGCACTCTTCGCAAAATTTCGTTATTCTGATAAATAAAAACC